ACACACACCACAGAGCATGCTAAGAACTTTTCGGAGGCTGAGTGTGCTGGCTCAGAAGGGACAAGCTGGCCACATGCCCTTCACTGCATTGGGCAACTGTGTGCCTTTACGATACATTTGCCCTTTCTTAATGGTTTTTGAAGTCAGAGAATTAAAATAAAGAACCGTAGCAAATTGATTTAAGTATTGTATTTCTTGGCTTCATATCCTCCCTCCCTCCCTTGCTTATTTCCCCCTCCCCTCTTTTCTCCCTTCCATTGCTTTTACATGTCCACGTGTATTTTTCCCATTCCATGGATCTCTCTTGTGTAGTTGGGAGAGAGTGCAGTGTGGTGGAACACAAGACTTCCTATTTATTGTTGGGCAGTCTTGGCATTGCTGTCTAGTTTTCTCATTGCTGAGAGATTTTCCAGAACACAGAACTTTGGTGCTAAGCCCAGCACAGCCCTGGGCATGATGGGACAGTTACTCAGTCAAAATAATTGACCTTTTAAAACTCTTGTTTCTTTAACTGTAAAACAAGGTTGACAACACCTCCTAGGGGTAAGGTAAGGGTTAAGTTTAGAGCTAGGGACATTATGACAGTTGGGGTTAGGGCTAGGGTAACAGGTACATGTGTGCATATGTTGGTGTGTGTGTGTTAATATGTGTGTGTGTGCATGCACGTGCTCGAGCGCCCCTCTGAGAGGAGGCTGAAAACTGATTTCAGATGTCTTCTCTGACTGCTTCCCATTGCATTTACTGGCTCAGGGTCTCTTGCAGAACCTGGAGCTTGCTAGTTCCAGCTTGTCTAGGTAATCAATCAGCTTGTCTGGGAGATAACCTACCTCTGTCTTGTGGTTACTGATATTACAGGTTGGCCATCACATTGCCTGGCTCTTGTTGTGATTCTGAGCATCCAAACTCATGTTACCCACTGCATGTTACCCACGCTGGCACAGGCAGTGCTTTATCTGTTGAGCCATCTCCCCAGCTCTAGTAAAATATCTTACTAATTTTGATAGCTGCACTACAGCTTGTGAGCACACACACACACACACACACACACACACACACGCTGTTTTTTTCCTTAGGAGATTTCTGTTTTGTTTTGTTTTGTTTTGTTTTGAATTGGGTCTTGTTGACTTGTGACGATATCCAGGCTAGTGTCCAACTCGCAACCTTTTTTCCCATTCCTGTCTCCTGAGGGTTAGGATTATAGGCATGTACCACACACCTGGCTGAAGTGTTGTCTCCGATTCTTGATTCCCTCCCTGATTTTGCATTTGCTTGGGACATTATGAATAGAATGCCCTTTCTTTTTAAACTCTGGATTGTGAGGTGTTGAAAATCAGCTTGACCGAAGCTAGGAGGAATATAGTTCAAAACCATTCCTGAGGCATGTACACGTGCAAATGCTTAAGAATAGAAAAATCAAAGACGTGATGATCGTCGAGGAAGACCCTGAAATCTTGCTGTGTCCGTGTCTTAGTGTGCGAGCGTCTGTGGGTGATTTCTGATGACTGTCTAGAAGCTTTGGGCCTCTCAGGCTGCTCACAGCCTGGAGATTATCCAAGAAGTCAATAAAGTAAGAAAATAAAAAACATAAATCTTTGTTATTGATCCTGAAAACACTAACTAAATGACATACCCGAGTCTCCCTCTCCCTTCTGTTCCCTTCCTCCTGTTCCCTTCCTTTAGTGCACCCCTCCCCTTTCTCCTTTCTTTCTGCTTTCTTTTTGGTGCTGGGCACGGAACCAAGGGCCTCACGCATGCGCAGTATGCTCTCCACGCCGTGCGTTACACTCTTAGCCTTGAGGGTCATCTTTAACTACTTTAAAAACTTTAAAGAATTTTAATTGTTTTATTTTTAATCTTTGTCAGCTTTCTTTGAGCATGGAGGGAATCTCTTAGGTCCTCTTTTCTGTACCATATACTGTTTGATAATTAGAGAGACCCAGACGCTTGACCTCTGAAATTTTTCTTGCAATTCGGGTCCGATCTAAGGAGCAAGAAATGAGGCAACCACATTCACGCCCAGCCTGGTGGCCCTGGTAAAAACTAGCGAGTCAAAAAGCAAAAAGAACATAAAAAGATGTGATCGTGGGAGGGAGAGTTGGTGGGAGGGGGGCTAGGGAGGAGGGAGAAGAGTAAGAGTGGGAGGGCGGGGGTAAGAGAGGGAGGACGGAGGATGACTGTGACCAGAATGTTTTACATATGTTCATGCAATACAAATAAATTTAGAGAAATGAGGCAAACAGCATCCTATGGACTCAGTCTTTGCGACACTTAACAAGTCGGCCTTTTGCCTGGACATCCCCGACTAAGCACTAACATTCCAGCTAAGGAGGTGGCTTTGGGATGGGGAATGGATGGCTCATAGTCCAATGAATTTTGTCAGGATTTCTTCTGATGGCAAGGGCTTTCTGCCTGCCATATGATTTTCGCTCCTGACACCATTAGACCGTCTTCTCAGGGAAACAAAACAACAGAGGAGAAAAGAGAATTGAGGTGTGGGACAGAGCAGGGTGGACTCTGCTCATGTCCCTCAATGCAGCTATGCCTGAGCCAGCCTTGGCTTCAGCTAGCCTGGGTATATAAACTAATATCCTGTTTGTCTTAAAGTTGTGCACCTGTCCTTTATGTGGGTCCTGGATGAGGATTATTCCGGCGTCCTTATACACGTTTTAGAGAAGGCAACGGAGATTCAGGACCTGAGGTGGAAGTTGGCTGTCATGACTTTGCAACTCATTCCGTTTCTATGACTGGATGCAGATTCAGTGGCTCCAACTCATCCCAGATCCAGGTCAGGCTCCCTCATCTCCCAGGGCTACGAACAAGCCCGATGCATCCGAGGTCAGACAGGCTAAGCTATCTTGGAGCCCTGGGCTTCACCTCTGCTTGTTCTGAGGACCTCCCTTCATTAGGACGTCTGAGTGCTCAGAAACCATTAACTAGGCTGGGCCCAGATCTATCTGGCCTCCAGGCACCAGGCTTCTGCTCTGGCAGACACAGGTTCTGCATGCAGGAGCACTTCTGGGAAGATGCATTCATCTTTAAAGTAGTGAAACTTTTTACACCCACATCTCAACGCTTAGAGGGGGGAAAGAGGGACAATTATTCAAATGGAAGTTAACAGTGTTTTAATATTTAAGTAACAAAACATGGCGGTTAATATCAATGCATACAAGAAGACAGCAATGGCGAAAAATGGCAAAGCACGACCTATAGGGAAGCTTTGGAACAGCCAGGTGCTACACAGAGGCGCACTACCTGAAAACAGCTGGTTCTCACTGCCTGCAATCTGACCAGGGACTTTCTGGTGGCTGGGCAGGTGGGGCTCATTGTGTCCATGGCCTCAAAGCGATGACTTTCCATTCAGATCCCAAGAACCTTAACAATCTTCATGCCCTAGACTGCTCCTTCTCTTCCTCCCCCACTCCTCAGCCCCTTAAATTGTTTGATATGTTCATCCTTTATGCCATTTCAGATCATGAGTTTTAGGAGGGCCTTCTTCAATATAGCCTAAAACCACTTGCGTCCCAGTGGGAAGAACTCTGTGTATTACCCCGGCTCTTGGTCAACACAGCTTCTTAGACAGTCTATGTAGACTGGAGCCACCCCTGAATATTCACCGGCTCCCCAGGCCACCTATACATGCACTGTTCATATGAGGACTGCCCTTTTCTCCTGATGGTCAGGGGTCTCACAGCACTACGGCCGTTCCAGGCTCAGGTGGGTTTTAGAGAGCAACCTATTTCCATTTCCTGGGAGTATTCACACTGCACACTGAGACGGAGTTCATGTTTTCTCCTTAAAAGGGTAGTCCTACAAGCACAAAGAAGGGTGTGGTCTGCATATTAATGCCTGGCACAGATGTCAGAACCACAAAACTGACCACAGGGCCAAAGACCTGGCCCTGTCGATTGGCAGTGATTAGCTATGCCGGACACACAGGCTCACTATTGTTTTTTTTGAGAAAAAAAAAAAAGGAACCAGTTTAAAGCTACTTTCTAGGATTTGATCTGGTTTCTTTTCTTTTAAACAAGGGCTGCATCTATGAGTACTGAGGCTGTGGAGACCTCAAAAGAAAACAACTAGGATCAGTGAGCTTTTGTTGACGTTGGATTTATATAGGATTTCACGCTATAGACAATGTCAAGGAATGATTTTTTCCCCCAGATTTTTCTATATGTAAGGCTGAAACTAATTCACTGAGATATCAGACCATTTTGCTAATGTACTATTTATTATAACTATACATAGGACTCAGGTTACAAAAAAAATCAATTTCTTACTCTTCTAGGGAGAATTTCTGACTTCTGAGAGGAAGAGGACTTCCAATGGAAAGCTCTGGAATGGTCTTGCTGGAACTAAGAGAAGCAGACAGGAAGCTTGTTTGCTTCCTTTGAAAATCACTGTGGCAAATAATGTTCTAGATCACCATGTATGAGGACTCAGATGAAAGGCTGGGGAGACCGCAACTATCTTTCCTCTGGCTGGGAAGATTGCAACTCTCTTTGCCCTGGCATTCTTTCTTTAATCAGTGTTCATTATTGTTATCAGCCAAGTTGGGGGTGGGCAAGGCAAAATGGAGTAGGAAACAATGCCTTTTAATCTATTATTTTTCTTTTAAAATTTCCACGGGGCGGGGGGAGTGTTAAGCTGGGAAATAGATCATCAACAGGCTTATTAAGTATGAGGAAGAAAAGTTTCTCTAAATCATCAAAGTATTAGTCAGTGAGTCAAATTATGTTCCATCACCAGATTAAAAAGTCTGTGGTAAAAAGCAGAGGCCTCTAACTCATAAATGATAACTCAGCTGTTTTGTGATGGAATATTTAGAGACAGAGACATGTGGCCAAGACTGTCCAGCATCTCCATGGATGAAATTAAGGCTTTACCAACTTTCAACTGTCAGTCAGAAGCAACAAGGGAACAAGGTAGAATCTCCTTGCTTTGGGGTGAGTTCTTCTTGGGGAAGGGTTTCTTCTGCACACGTGTTGGAGGGTATCAGAGCGCTACACATAGTCGTACTTGGTAGGATGAGATTGTTCATCATCTTCTGTGCGGGCACCCCCATCGTATATCTTCTTGTTTCTGGTATTGGACCCAAAGCCCGTGCTGGCCTTAAAGCCTCCAGGCCTGTAGGCCACATTCTGGCCAGAGGCATGGTAAGACACAGCTTTGAAGCTGAAAGGAAAGGAAAGAGCCCATGAACACTTGTGTGATTAGTAGGGAGACATAATCCATGAACACTGGTGCGTTTAGTAGGTGGACAGATTTCCCCGTTTCCTCCTGATTGTTCCATCTCAGCAGGGGACAGTTTAGTGTTTGAAGAGATGTAGTAGTCTCCATCAGACCAAGGTAGTTAGTCGCCATGTTCTTGGGACATTAGCTGTCCATGATGGAACAAAATGTCTTGTTTTTATATCAGGCCTACAAAGAAGAGAGGAGACTTGGTAGGGGGAGGGAGAGATTTAGAGAAAGTGAAGAAAGGTGTTTGAGACGGTGATGGAACACAGGTGACATGAAAGCAGGAGGGAGGACTACTGGAAGGAAAGAGGAGATCAGCAAGGAGGGAGGGGAGATGAGAAATGTGTGTGTGTGGGGGGGGGTGATGAGAGAAACAAAGGCAAAACTGGACATCTGGAAATGTCATAATGTAATCTGTCATGGTTTTATGTTTCATGCAAAGTTAAATGAGCTTGGCCTGTTCTTGTTCTCCTCTCTCTCTCTCTCTCTCTCTCTCTCTCTCTCTCTCTCTCTCTCTC